GGAGAGTTGGCTCACCAGTTAAGAGCAATGGCTGCACTGGCAGAGGACCCAGGTTTGATTCCTAGCACCCACATGGTGGTGACAAACATCCATAACTCGAGTTCCTCTGCAGGCATTGCATGACATAAATGCATGCACGCACATGCAGACCATTTACTCCTACAAATAAAATAAAAATATTTATTAAAATATTCAATACAGAGATGTTGAAGAGCACCTCCCACATCTACCGCCTTGATTCCAACCTCCCTCATAACCATCTTATTGCACAGTTGTCCCTTGATCCCCAGTGGGGACAGATTCCAGGACTCCCTGAGGATATTCAAATCTTTGGATGCCCAAGTCTTTTATAGAAAAAGGTGGCCAGAGGCTGGAGAGCTATCTCAGTGGTTAAGAGCACTGGCTATTCTTGCAAAGGACCTGGGTTTGGTTCCCAGCACCCACATAGCAGTTCACAATTGTCTTTAACTCCAGTTCCAAGGGATATGACACCCTCTTCTGGCCCCCTGGGGCACCAGGTGCATATGTGGTGCACATACATATATACAGGCAAAATACACATATAAAAAAAGCAAATCTAAAATAAATAATATCTTTTTTACAAAAGAAGGAAGGAAGGAAGGAAGGAAGGAAGGAAGGAAGGAAGGAAGGAAGGAAAATGTGGCCAGGCTGGGTGTGGTGGTGCTTATTTTTTTAAGTCTCAGCACTCAAGAGGCAGAGGCAAAAGAATCTGTGAGTTTGAGGTCAGCCTGGTCTACACAGTGAGTTCGGCAAGCCAGTGCTACATGGTGAGACTCTGTATCAACAACAACAACCAAAAAAAGAAAAAAGAAAGAAAGAAAAGAAAGGGAGGAAGAAAGAGAAAAGGAAGAAGGGAAGAAAGAAAGGAAAAAGGTGGGCCAGCTCTTTAACCAGAGTGCAGGTCAGTTGGCAGAATGCTTACTTAGCATAGGTTTTGCTGTGTAGCCCTGGCTGGCCTGAAACTCACTATACAGACCAGGCTTGGCCTTGAATTCAAACTTACAGTGACCTTCCCACCTCTGTCTCTCAAGCGCTGGAATTATAGATGTATGCTACCACACCTAGCTCACATTTCTTTTTCTTTTCTTCTTGTGGAAAGGTCTAATATATACCCCAGGATGGCTTTGAGCTCTCTACCCTCCTGCCTCAGCCTCCCAAGTCCTGGGATTATAGGCCTATGCCACCAGTACATACCTATATACCTATATTCTAATTGAGAGAACATGGATGCTGATGCACACTTCACCAGGGCTCACACTGCTTAGGGTCTCAGTGGGTCTCCCCACTCAGCTTCATGAAGCTTCCACCTGGTTCCATGTGGTGGGAGTAGGGAGGCAGTAAGGAGTAGGAAAGGACTGTCCTGGAAACTGCTTCAAGCTGAGCCATGGGCCACTGCCCCCTCCAGCAGGAAGTGGGGACAAGGCCCCTGGTCTGATCACTTGAAGACATCACAATGGTCGCAGCAGTTGTAAGAGTCCTCACTCCTCAGAGGGGCCTCTCCAAGGGGACTCCTGGAATCAAGAGCCTGGGTACCTAGAGCTTGGAACCCAACAACACTGCCCAGACACTCTTGCTGGGACAAAAGATTTTCATGGTATGGAAATGGGGCTGTCGCCAGGTGAGGATCCTCATTCAGGGGCTAGGAGAGGCCAGGGACAAATGGATGTTGAGAACTTGGGGAGGAATGCGAGGGGATCATGGGTCACCTTGCTGAACTGGGGCTGAGTTCCATCTTTTCTGGAATTCCCCTGCCCCACACTACCCAGATGACTCCATAGGGACAATGGACAGGTTGGGTCTCCAACATCCTCCCTCTCTCTCGTACTACAAGGAACCTGCCCAGAAATACTACTGACTCATCTTTGTCAGGTATGACCTCTGGGTGGCACAACACCTAGGCCAGGGCAGGGGTCCCGGTCCCGAGGTGGCGCTGGGTTTCCAAAACCTCTGAACTGTTTTTCATTGGAATCTCTGCTGACTTGGTAAAATGGTTAAGAACATGAGGAGTGATTCAGCTGGGCACTGATCTAGCTTGAGATGGGATGACTGGCTGGTTCCAGTTACATACTTCGATTCTGAACATGGATTTCTTCTCCTGTAAGATATGTCTGAAAACCAGCCCTAGGTGGGACTGCTGAGGTCTACCTACATGGCTGAGATGTTCACGCCAAGTGTGATAGCTTATACCAGTAATCCAGCACTTGGAATGCTGAGGCACAAAGATTGCTCCAAATTCAGACTAGCCTGGGATACTGAATGAGCCTAGAATCAAAACAAGGTGGAGATGCAGCTCAGTTGGTAGAATGCTTGCCTAATATGCATGAAACCCTGGGTTTGATCCTGAGTACCAAATAAACTGGGCATGGTGGTACATGACTATAATCCCAGCACTCAGTAGATACAGGCAGGAGGACCAGAAATTCAAGGTCACCCTAGGCTACACAGAGACCTGTCTCAAATTCCTCCCTGCCACAAAAAGGCCTCAGAGCTAATGGCAGAACTTAAACATGCCTGACTTCAGAGCCCATGCTGCTGTTATGTTCCTTGCTTCGTAGCCTACCTAATTTCTGACACTGATTTACTGAGTTGCCTCAGGCAATGTGCTTAACCTCTCTGAGTCTTGTCTCCCCACCTACAAAATTGGACCAGTGCTTCACTGGTGAATTGGTGAGAGAAAACAATGTGAAATCTGGCACACAGGGGAAGTTGTTAGCAAATGACCTTGCTCTATGTCTTCACCCAGACCTCAAGTACTGCCTCTGGGGACAGGAGGGCACAAGTGGAGTCACAAGTACCTGGGTTCAAATCCCAATCCCTTTATCTCCTACCTGTACAACTGTTGAGTTACTTAGTTCATGAGAGGTTGCTCAGTGCTGGTGCAGCTGAGCCTAGGACCCGACATGCTCTTCCATCTCTCTTCTAGACACTCGGGGTCCTAAAGAGCCACCTCCTCCTTACTACCATCCCTCAGGACCCCAGGCTAGAAATACCCTGTGTACACCCAAAGCCCACCAGTCTTCCAATCAAGTAAGTGCTGCTGCCATCTCTCCTTGCTGTATGTCTCCTGTTTGGTGAGCCCTCCTCCCAGTCCCTCTGTAAGTCCCCAGGCTGGCTGGGCCCTCACATTGCTCCCAAGACTTTCTGAAGCATCTCTCTCCTTGGAGGATGGGGCTAGTATACAGCAGGTGCTCAAGTATACTTATGAAGTGAATACCTTGTAAGCACATCATCATCCCCTGATTGCAGAGGAGGTGAACGCAGAGCCCCTGGTGGACTTAGGGTTTTGGGATTCTAAATTCATGTCCCAAGGAATCCTCATACACTCAAAACTGTTAGGCTAGACTATGCATCAGTCAGCTAAAACTTACTACAACAAAATATCTGAGGTTATTGTAAACAGGAAAGGCTTATTTTGGCTCATAGTTCTGGAGGTTTTAGTCCAACATAGGGAAATCCCATTGCTGTGGGCCTCTGGTGAGGATGCCAGGTAACAATGGTGGGGAGGTGGGAACAAATTCCTTCATCATGAGCCAGGAAGCAGGGAGAGGCTGAGAAAATGGGGTCCCTTTCAAGGGCATGCTGCCAGTGATCTAAGGGTCTCCTACAAGGCCCCAAGTCACAAAGTCCCACAGTCACAAAAGCTGGACCTGGTGACCTCAGCTACTCTAGAGGCTGAACAGGAAGATCTAGAGTTCAAGGCCTGCCTAGACTACAGTGAGCTCAGGACCAATCAATTAGGACCACTTAGTGGTAGAGTGCTTGCCTAGCATTCACAAGGTCCTGGGTTCCATCCTCAGTACAGCGGGGGGTGAGGGAGAGAAGGGGAAAAGACACACAGCAGCTTCCAGCAGAGCCACTGGGGGGACCAAGCCTTCTGCACTGACCTCTGCGGGGATAATTATCTAAAGCACGGCTGACTCCATCCCCAGAGGACAGACTCAGGGTTGGGAAGCGCCCATAGCACTTTTGCAGGCCGCCTGTTCTTTCCTCAGTTTCCAAATGGTGACACACTGCCACACAGGTCTCTACTCTCCAAATTCCAGCAGCCCTCTCCCCAGTCCCTACAGGAAGCAAAAGTCTATGATGGACATGAGCCCTGCACATAGTTCAACCAGACCAGACCCCAAGGGCCCACTTCAGGTCACCAAAGCATGTGGCAGTCATTTCTAATGTTATTGTTTTATTATTAAGGCCTAGCACTTGCTAGGTAAGTGCTCTACCACTGAGCAATCGACCTCACCCCTAGAACTTTTTCTCCTTTTCTCTTTTCTTTCTATATGAGATAGGGTCTCATGTAGCCCAAGCTGGTCTCAAACCCACTATGTATATAGCTGAGTTTGACCTTGAATTTCTGATTCTCCCACTTCCACCTGCTGAGTGCTGTGATTACAGTCATGCACCACCATCCCTGGTTTTTATGCAAAGCTGTGATCCTACTCGGCTTCGTGCATAGTAGGCAGGGACTCTCAAACACTCTGTCAGCCGTGCTACATTCCTAACCCTGGAATCACATTCTCAGGGAATCACATTCTTAGGGACAAATCCAATCACTACAAAGCTCGCAGAAGTGGTTGCAGTTTGCCAAACATACCTTGCTTGGTCTCACTGTAGGAGAGTGAGAGCGCTGTGTTAAGGAAAGGAGGGAAGAGTACTGGGGACGGGGTGTTACTCTCTTCCCTTTCAAGCTTCCTGTTAGCCAGAGAAGGCCATTTTAACCACAGGGACTGGAAACCAGATAACTCAGTGAGCCAAAGAGGGGCCACACTTGAAAGCAGGATTCCACAGTTCATAGGTCCCCATCCTTGCCTTGGCCAGTGGATCTTGAAGGCCCTGAGGCTGATAGACAGGTGGGTGGTGAGGGGGCCAGTGGCTGCTTCAGTGAGCACAAGGAAGAGACACTGTGGAAAGGGGTGTCCAGAAGGGGTGAGCCTGGAACAGGAGGGAGGGCTCTGGTCTAACCTGCCTCCCTGCCCCTAGACATGTTCAACGGCATGCCTAGGGTGACGTCTTCCATGCCGATGCAGACGTATGTCCCTACTGTGGGCACCACATCATCACAGTGACCACCCCCATCCCAGGTCTCTTCACCTGGTTGCTGTGCAGCGGTCTCTTTGTGTTTGGGTGAGTGGCCATGGGGCTCCAACGGGGCCCTGAGCATCCCCTTGGGTGGGGACCTGCTGGGGTGGAGATGGGGCTGAGATGCAGCTGGGGGCAGCAGGGCAGGGAAGACCAAAGACAGAGAGTCCCAGGGTTTGACGACTTCTCCAGGAGGTGGTAGGGTGACCTGTGGGATGGAAGGGGTGGATGGGGCATGAGCAGACAGCTCCAGGCAGGCTGCCATCACCCCCACTGTCAAGAAAGAGAGGGCTCAGCATGGCTGTCAGTCCTGCCCTGCAAAGCCACCCAAGGAGACTGGGTCCACCTGGAGGTGGTGTGAGGGTGCGGGCAGCCTGTCGGGACTCCTGTTCAGGTGCACGCACACTACTCCCGAGGCTGCAGGTGTGTCCTGGGCTGCTGCTTCCTCCCCTTCTGCATACGGAGCATGATGGATGTGAGCCACTCCTGCCCTGTCTGCGGGAAGGAGCTCTTCCACCACCACCGCCTGTGACCTGCACAGTAAACAGCAATGGAGGTGTGTGTGCGTGTATGTGCATGTGTGTGTGTGTGCCAGCAGGAGCTCTTCTACAGCTGCCACCTGTGATCCACACAATAAATAGCAATGGAGCAAGGTGTGTGCATATGTGTATGTGTGTCTGTGTATATATGTTTGTATATATGTGTGTATGTATGTCTGTGCATTGAGTTTGTGTGCCTGTTTATGTATAAATGTGTGTGTGCATGTCTGTGCACATGTATATGTGCATGCATCTGTGTATGTGCATTTTTGTGTACATGTTTGTGTGTTAGTGTACATGTCTGTACATGTGTGCATGTGTGTGTGCATGTGTATGTGTGTCTGTCTATATGTGTGTGTATATGCGTGTGTGTGTCTATGTGTATGTGCTGCTGGGCTCCTGCTCACCCATGCATCCAGTGTGGAGTGGAGGTTCAGGTGCACTCCACCACCCTGTGGTCTCCTGTCAGCATGGGTGATGGGTGGTGCCTATGCAAGCCTGGGTCACAGGTGTGGTAGATGGTGTTCTCTGGGGGAGGGATGGCGTGTGCATGCACCCATCTCCAGGTTCATCCTTTTCTGACTCTAGACACCATAGCCCCATGAACCACTTCCTGTTCCTAGCCCCTTCCCATCAGCTCCAACCTCTGCTCCTTTGTTGGGAAAGCCTGCTGCCCAAACCCTCACCTGCATCATCCCTCAACATCTGGGTCACATCTGCTGTGCCACTGTCCCCTGTGGACCAGTGACCTAATCACTAAGTGCAATTCTAAGAGAGCGTCTTCCCTTCTTCTCTCCCTGCTCGGGTACTCTGCAGAAGTGTCACTGCCCCACCTGCACATGTCTTCCGGCCACCTCCTAGCATGCTTCTGTCCCCAGGCCTGACAAGGCTTTTCACCTCCAGCATCTCACAGGCTTCTCCCCTGGATGCTTCAGATCTTAGAGGGGCTGTGTGTGTGTGTGTGTGTGTGTGTGTGTGTGTGTGCACACGCAGAGGTGGGTGGCTGGGAAGGACGCTGCCACCACCTCTGACACCTCCAAGGTAGCTCTTGGCTCTTACCCTCTCCACAATCCATTCTCTTCCGTCCTTGTCTTGCACTTGGTTCCCTTCCTGCCTGAGCCCTGCTGGTACCTCCTATTTCTCACCAGGCAGAGGCCTGATGCTGGCACAGGGAGAACAACATTAATAGCAAGAACTCATCATTTATTTGAGAAGCTGAGACAGGAGGATTGCTAGCCTGGGTTACATAGTAAAAGCCTGTCTCTTAAAAAAGGGGGGGAGGGGAGGACCGGAGTGATAGCTCAGCAGCTCAACCAAACCCAGGTTTGGTTCCTGAAGCTAACAACCATCTGCAACTTAAGTTCTAAGGGATCTGATGCCCTCTTCTGGCCTCTTTGGGCATTGCACGAATGGGTGCACTTACATACATACATACAGGCAAAACTCATACACATAAAATTAAAAAATCAAGAAGTTAGCTGGGCATGGTGGTGCAAGCCTGTAATCCCAGTACTTGGGACGCAGAGGCAGGCAGATCTCTGCAAGTTCAAGGCCAGCCTGGTCTACATAGTGAGTTCCAGGCCATCTGGAGCTACAGGGAAACCTTGTTTCAAAATCCCCTTTTTAAAAAAAAAAAAAAAAAAAAAAAAAAAAAAAAAAAAAAAAAATCAAGAAGACAGAACTTAAGCCAGATATCTGCCTAGAACTCAGACCACACCCACACTTCTAACATGAGGTTACCTGAGGCCATCTGTGAACTGCTTCCTGCCTCCCTCCCAGTTCCATCCATCTAGAACCACCCAGGCAGCACCTTTCCTGTGCACCCCCAAGATGACCTACTGGTCCATCCCTCCATCGGTCCCGCCTATCCTTCACTCTGTCACTTTGTCAGGCAGATCTATGAGCTTGTGGTTAACCCCGGTACCCCACAACCTGGTAGAAACTGGGGTGAGGACTCTAGAAGCTGCAAAGACAAATCTTCCCAAGTTCTCTACTGGGGGGGGGGGTTCCCAATGACATCCAATCCCTGCAGCTCCTTCCCAGCCTTACAGTGTGCACAAGTCAACAGGGAGAAAGTGGCTGTTAAAATGGCCTCATGCTGGCTTGTGGATAGGACTTCTGGGTAATGAGGACTGTTAGGGATCAGAAAAGGAAAGGAAAAGGATGCAGTCTTTTTTTTTTTTTTTTTCAGTGCTGGTGGTTTAACCCTGGGCTTTATGCAGTATTAGCAAGCAATCTACCACTGAGCTACACCCACAACCCTTTCCTTTTTAGTTTGCGACAGGATCTCACCAAGTTGCTGAGATTGGTCTTGAACTTGCTGTGTAGCCCAGGTACAGCTGAAGGTGACTATCATCCTGCCCCAGCCTCCTGAGTGCTGAGATGACAGGTGTGCACCACCACACTAGAGCTAGAATTTTTAACTTTGCAATGAACTATTGTCCTACCTACCTACCATCATTTCAACTAGGATTAATTTTATGGAAAGGGAGAAAAGGTGCAAGGAAAGCATTAGGGGAAAGAGGAAAGAGAAAAAGGGAAATAGGATGGGCCAGGCATGCACTGGCAGCTGGCTGATCTGGTCGCTGTAATGCTCACACCCACCTCAGGAGGGCAGTGTTGTACCAGTCAAGAGATGCAGAAGCCCAGGCCCAGGCGATCCAGTGACTAGGGTAGCCACAAACTCAGGTCCATCTACTCAGGACCCCTTCATCATAATGAAAAGGTGTGCGGATGAGGTGTACATGTGGATGGGGCTGGAGGCTTGGGATGGTGGCAACTCCTGGCCTTTAGGGCTGAAATTCCTGGGAGCCTTAAGTCAGGTGAGAGCCAAACTGCCCAAAGCCAGGAAGATCCTGTCATACCAGCCAGGGCAAAGGACAAGCTTCAGGACAATTTCTCCAGATCTGAAGCTGATCTACCATCTTCAGTGGAGGCCCTGGAGCTCTGGGAAACCAGCCCTGAGTCAGACTGTAAGTTTCAACTCCACATCTGAACAGGTCCAACAACAGATCTTCAGGACTTCACAGCGAGGTGTTTGACAAATGAGTCTCCTGGTACCACCTGAGACCCAGAGAAAACACCTCTCATTTGTAAAAAAAAAAAAAACAAGGCCAAGTCAGCATGGGCAATGGGAACTCAGGCAGGATGCAGAGGGAAAGCCTTGTTTGGGACTCTGTGGCTTTGCAGAAGTCAAAAGGGGAGCAGCCACCTTTACCTTGAACTACATCATCAGCTCCAACCCCTTCTTTTTTGGAATTGTCCCCACTTCTCATCACCAAGCAATTTGTTGGCTTTAATTTTTTTTTTCTATTTTTATGTGTATGAGCATCTTTCCTGTATGTAAGTGTACCACATTTGTGCAGCGCCCATCGAGGCCAGGTGTTGGATCCCCTGGGTGCTGGCAACTGAACCCAGGTCCTCTGAAAGAGCAAGTGCTCTTATGTGCTCAGTCAACTTTCCAACCCCTTTGGTTTTGATTTGTATTCCTAGACAGGTCCACTGGCCAGTGGAAGACTGTCAGGCCAAGCTTATCATAGACCATGGCCTCACTGGTGCACAAAGCTCTCCTCTCTCTAGATATGGCATGACAGATCATCATATTGTGCCATCAGGGCGGCCAGATCCATGATGGGACTTCAAGAGTCTGCGCTAGGCCTTGATCCCATAGAAGGTTTTCGAATCTAGACTTGTCAGCACACACAGTGGGAGAAACCCAAATTTTTCAGCTTCATTTGCGAGGTCTGCAGTGTCTGCTCACAGACTCAAGTGATGGCTTAGTCAGTACCTGCCTGCTCATTAACAATAGTGAGGACTGAAACAGGGTGCTGGTGCTTAGTGCCCAACTGCTCACTACTCCACAGTGAGGACTGAAACAGAGGGTGCTGACTCTCTGGTCTTAGCTACTGTTTTCTGCAACCCCACCCTATGGGTCAGAGCCAAGAGATTCAGCAGGTCCCACCTCACTGGGCCTTATCACAGGAGCAGAGAGGGGGTGTGGTACGGTATGGCTGGGGTATCAGCAGCTGCCAAGGCAGGCTCCTGTGTCCACTCCCAGCCCGCAGCTGTCAGCTCAGCTACCCCCAACATCTAGCCAGCACACGTGGGTGGTCGGTCAGTGACCCCTTACACAGCTGCTGACACACTATCATGCCCATCAACAGCAAAACTCAAGGACTTGTGTGGAGACTTTCCAGTCCCTTAGTCACTGAACCAGGCTTGTGGGGTTCTGCAGCCACAGGCAGCCAGCGGCTATGCAGTGGACAAAGTGGATGCAAAGCAGCACTCTGCCATAACAGCAGCTTCTGCCCAACAGAGCAGGGCAGAAACAGCATGGGGCAGAGGGCAGGCCACACCACACAAGGACCCCATGCATACCCTAGAGACACAACAGTACCTGACTGTGGTCTCTGAACCACCCTACAGGCCTGCCTCGTACTGGACTGCTTGTGGCAATGCGGCTTGAACCTTCCACTGGATGCTGGGGTATTTCAGCAGAAAGACAAGTTCTTCCCCCTCTACCCAGGAAGGAGCTGGCAAGCCTTCCTGTGACAAAAGGGATAGTGCCCTACCCTCTTGTGGAGCAGTGTGTCAGTTGGGACGTGGCACCAAAGCCCATATGTAACTCACGAGGCATCAAGTCTCATGGCACTGCCAGCCCCAGCTTCAGTATCAGAAATTTAGCCCACAAGAGAAACTTCATCTTGCTTCAACGATTCATACAGCCACTGTGAGTGGATGCAGACCCCTGACCTCAGTAGACTAAACTCACCAGCCAAGACACTGCAACAGGGATGGATGACGAAAAGGGAATTGGATGAGATTTCTAAAGTCTCGGCAGCAAGCCATGGTGAGGACCCAGTGGCTGCTCAATGCCTTGCTCAGTCACTAGAACTGTGCTACAGTCCACCAACCAGGCTCTGGTCCTGGGCTGTGCCAGATACCAAAACCTCATTCCACGTGGGAGTATGTACTGACTGACCTTAGTCTTCTG